AGAGAACTTAGGCCAACTTTTAAAGCTTCCACTTTCAAGTGATCCTGTCCTGTTTCATTGACCAAAGCAAGTCATATGACCATGTCTGACTTATTTAGGAAGGGCATATACAATTCTATGAATGGAAGATGCTAAATATGGGTTAAAATAATGTAAATTACCAGATAACTTGACTACTTTCAAGTAATTATCACCTAAGTTCTCTTTCCCCATGTGCCATGATGATTGGAAAAGCTCCAGACAAAGACTATTCCATCAGTTCGGGGTAATAGAATTCAGGCAACACAAGGAGAGCTACAGCCAACCCAAGATGGTCATACAGTATGACAAAAAATTAAAATGTTGTGGATGTAAGTCCATGAGATTTGGAGTTATTCATTACTACTAGGCTTCCCTGGTGGCTCAGTGGTAAAGAATCTGCCTGCAATGCAGGAGCCATAAGAGAAGTAAGTTCGATCCCTGGATAGGGAAGATCCCCTGGAGGAGAGCATGGCAACCCACTCCATTATTCTTGCCTGGCAATCCCATGGACAGAGGAGTCTGGTGGGCCAAAAGAGTCGGACACTACTGAAGTGACTTACCAGGCACACACACACGCATTACCACAGCTAGGCAACCTAGATTATTTTTAGTAGATGCAGCAAAAATTAGGCTTCTGAGAAGAGGGAATACTTAGAATGATTCCCAAGCTTCTGACCCCATACAACAAGGAAAATAGTGCTATATATTGAGGTAGGGAATTAGAACATTTCTTCTTCTCAAAGAAAAAATATAGGTTGTAGCTATATATTTTAGAGTTCTTTTTTAATTAATTTATTTACTATTGAAGGATAATTGCTTTATAGTATTGCATTGGCTTCTATCAAACATCAACATGACTCAGCCATAGGTGTGCCCATGTCCTCTCATACTTAACATGGAGATTATATTAATAGCTAGGGAAGTCCAGTGGTTAAGACTCTGTGCTTCCACTGTAAAGGGCACAGTTTCAATCCCTGGTCAGGGAACTAAGATACCACATGCCATGCAGCACAGCCAAAAATAAAATTAAATTTAAAAAAATTTTATATGGGGGTTAAGGAATGGTAGGAATCAAGATACTCTCCAGAGAGGAGATAGCAGTTAACATTGTATTAGTCAAGAACCAACCAAGAAACAGAAACTACTTTAATATGTAGAATAGAAGGAATGTAATGCACAGAATTGACTCAATAGATGAGAGAAGACCTAAAAAAATTAAATAGGTGATGTAAGGCAACCTAGAAACTGATAACAGCAGAAAGTGGGAAAGAAAAAGAAGAGACGGTATAACCAGAGTCCAAGGACTGGATCCCCTGGCAAAAACTAAAACCAAAACAAACCTCTCCAGCAGGAATTGGTGGCCCAGACCCAGTAGAAACAGTTGACTTCTCTCAACTAGAGAGCGAGAGGAAGCCACACTCTGGTCTTTCCCCTTTTCCCACTACCCATCTCCTGCCTGGGCCTCGAGTTCCTTGAACAGCAAGATCAAACCAGTCAATCCTAAAGAAAATCAATCCTGAGTATTCATTGGAATATTCATTGGAATTGAAGCTGAAGCTCCAATACTTTGGCAAAGTATGTGAAGAACTGACTCACTGGAAAAGACCATGATGCTGGGAAAGATTGAGGGCCAAAGGGGAAGAGGACGACAAAGGATGAGACGGTTGCATGGCATCACCAACTCAATGGACATGAGTTTGAGTAAACTCCAGGAGATAGTGAAGGACAGGGAGCCTGGTGTGCTGCTGTTCATGCGGTCCCAGAGAGTTGGACACAACTTAGCAACTGAACAGCAACGTCAACTTTCATAATTACCTGAGAGATCGACCTGGGAACCACCTGCATGGGTCAGCATCTCATCCCCTCAGTTCCCCCAACATGGAGTAGAACATGGGGGACATGTGGAATGGATTGGAGGGCAAATAGTCCCAATATTTGCATAAGTCCAAGTCTGGAGGCAGACCAGGGCAGACATTCCAGGTGAGAAGAAGCTTGATTTTTCTTTAAGGCATAAAATGTGTTAGCAACAAAGAGATTTAGTTATCTTTTCAGCAAGACTGGGGCTGGAACACATGTGAAGAAAGGAATATTAATGAGGCTAGGCATGTAAAATAAGTCCAGATCATGAAAGACCCTATATGCCATGCTAAGGAGCTTAAAATCTGTTTTATAAGTGGTCATATACAGCTAGAATTTTGTCTCGGAAAAGATAATTCTGGAGTCATTGTACATGTAGCATTGAGGAAAGGGAAGATATTTCAGAATGATATAATAGCAACCTAACTTGGTGGTAGTTCTGGGAAGCTATGGGGTGGCCCTAATTTAACTACAGACAATACAAGCTCACATTCTCATGATGCAGACTCCCAACCAACGAGGTTTGTAGCACTTTAGTCTTATCAGACAATACTTGGAAATTTCTATTGTATTTCATGTTTTAAAGTTTCTTTATGATACGTGACATAAGTCAAAGAAAGACAGACACTGTAGGATTCACTTATATGTGGAATCTAAAAAATATGGCAAACTAGTGAATATAACATAAAAGAAGCAGATTCACAGATATAGAGACCAACTAATATATAGATATAGAGATATAGAATATGTAGATATAGAGAACAGACCAGTGAGAAGAGGAAAGTGGAGAGGGGCAAGATAGGGGTATAATATAAAGAGATACAAACCACTATGTATAAAATAAGCTACAAGGGTGTATTTTATCAGTCAGTTCAGTCGCTCAGTCGTGTCCGACTCTTTGCAACCCCATGAATCGCAGCACGCCAGGCCTCCCTGTCTATCACCAACACCCGGAGTTTACTCAAACTCATGCCCATCGAGTCAGTGATGCCATCCAACCATCTCATCCTCTGTTGTCCCCTTCTCCTCCTGCCCCCAATCCCTCTCAGCATCAGGGTCTTTTCCAATGAGTCAACTTTTCGCATGAGGTGGCCAAAGTATTGGAGTTTCAGCTTCAGCATCAGTCCGTCCAATGGACACCCAGGACTGATCTCCTTTAGGATGGACTGGTTGGATCTCCTTGCAGTCCAAGGGACTCTCAAGAGTCTTCTCCAACACCATAGTTCAAAAGCATCAATTTTTCAGTGCTCAGCTTTCTTCACAGTCCAACTCCCACATCCATACATGACCACTAGAAAAACCATAGCCTTGACTAGACAGAACTTGGTTGGCAAAGTAATGTCTCTGCTTTTTAATATGCTATCTAGGTTGATCATAACTTTTCTTCCAAGAAGTGTCTTTTAATTTCACGGCTGCAATCACCATCTGTAGTGATTTTGGAGCCCCCAAAAATAAAGTCTGACACTGTTTCCACTGTTTCCCCATCTATTTCCCATGAAGTGATGAGACCAGATGCCATGATCTTAGTTTTCTCAATGTTAGGCTTTAAGACAACTTTTTCACTCTCCTCTTTCACTTTCATCAAGAGGCTTTTTAGTTCCTCTTTACTTTCTGTCATAAGGGTGGTGTCATCTGCATATCTGAGGTGACTGATATTTCTCCCAGCAATCTTGATTCCAGCTTATGCTTCTTCCAGCCCAGCGATTCTCATGATGTACTCTGCATTTAAGTTAAATAAGCAGGGTGACAATATACAGCCTTGACATACTCCTTTTCCTATTTGGAACCAGTCTGTTGTTCCATGTCCAGTTCTAACTGTTGCTTCCTGACCTGCATACAGCTTTCTCAAGAGGCAGGTCAGGTGGCCTGGTATTCCCATCTCCTTCAGAATTTTCCACAGTTTATTGTGATCCACACAGTCAAAGGCTTTGGCATAGTCAATAAAGCAGAAATAGATGTTTTTCTGGAATTATCTTGCTTTTTCAATGATCCAGCGGATATTGGCAATTTGATCTCTGATTCCTCTGCCTTTTCTGAAACCAGCTTGCACATCTGGAAGTTCTTGGTTCATGTATTGCTGAAGCCTGGCTTGGAGAATTTTGAGCATTACTTTATTAGCGTGTGAGATGAGTGAAATTGTGTGGTAGTTTGAGCATTCTTTGGCATTGCCTTTCTTTGGGATTGGAATGAAAACTGACCTTTTCCAGTCCTGTGGCCACTGCTGAGTTTTCCAAATTTGCTGGCATATTGAGTGTAGCACTTTCACAGCCTCATCTTTTAGGATTTGAAATAGCTCAACTGGAATTCCATCACCTCCACTAGCTTTGTTCATAGTGATGTTTTCTAAGGCCCACTTGACTTCACATTCCAGGATGTCTGGCTCTAGGTGAGTGATCACACCATTGTGATTATCTGGCTCGTGAAGATCTTTTTTGTACTGTTCTTCTGTGTATTCTTGCCACCTCTTTTTAATATACACCCTTACAAATAACTATAAATAGAGTGCAACCTTTAAAAATTGTGAATTACTATATCATATACTTGTAATCTATAATATTGTGCATCAACTATACTTCAACAAAAATCTTTTAAAATTTCTTTAGAAGTATGGGAATAAGAACATGAGGAGTCTGTAAAGTCATCAGATAAGAAGAAGGAGAGGGAAAGAATGATTACGCCTTACTGAAAATTCAACTTGTCTTTACAATGTTAAGCTAGTTTCTCCTGTACTGCAACTAACACAATATTGTAAAGCAACTATACTCCAATAAAATTAATTTTAAAAAATAAAAAATAAAGGTGAAGAATATTGAAATGAATGTGCAAAAATAAACAAAGTGCCATCTTAAAAAAAGAAAAGAAAAGGAAATGTGTGTTGTCTTTATAACAACAGACTGTCTAGAGTTTATAACCCAAGGACAAAACTATCTGGCTAGGCCCTTCTGAATAGAGTCCCCCAAACAAAAACAGGACAAACTGAAGTCTTTTCAATGCTTTATTCATTCTTTTTGGGGGCTGCTACGTTTTAGGATGGAAAGAGTTTCTGCAGGGGAAGGGAGAAGGGAGCATCATCTCCCTCCCTCCCTCCCTCCCTCCCTCCCCCACTCTTGCTTTTTCTGCCATCACACCAAATATGAGAGCGCCTCCTGAAAGCCAAAAGGACAATATTAAAAATAAGAGCAGTTTACATGTCATTATCAAGTAGTCAATATCCTATTTCACCACCATTATCCTGACAAGGAAACAAAAGCTCAAGAGTGATTGAGTCCCACCCAGAATCACAGAGCTGGGAAGTAGCGCACATTTTACAACCAGAACACAAGTCTTTCTCATTCAAAAATTCCTTCTAGGAATGTGGACACTGCGCTTGCCCTGAGATTCCAGGCCATGCTGAATGTGTATGGGTACAGCCCACGAGGGGGAAGCACAGGTTCACAAATGAGAACTGGTCGGGTGGGAGTTGGGTGGAGAGGAAGGGCACTCAGGGTGAGTAAACCCTGCCCTTTGACCAAGTTAGCCCCCAGAGCTGTAGTTACCAGTAGTTTCTTCACGGACTCGGAAGCCTCTGGTGTCAGTTCATTGACACAATTCCTCAGCCCTTCCGTAAGGTGCTCAACGGAAATGCCCAGAGTTTTCAGAAGAAGCTTAAGTGGGTACAGGAGTGGGAGAGCATCCAGAGGCAAAGGCAAGTTCCCGTTAATGAGCTGTGGCAAGCTGTTGACGAGGAAGGCGGTGGCTGTGGAGCAGAAGAGATCCCAAGTGAGACCTGAGCACCCTCCGCTCTATCGGTGGCTCCATCCCAGCCCTATGCATCCTGATTGCCCAAAAAACGTCTGCTTCGGGACCTCTGCACCTACTGTTCTACCTCTCTAGAACTTTCCTTCACCAGATAGCTACATCTTTCTTTTTCACTTATTCGGTCTCTCCTCAAATGTTACATTCTCAGAGATGTATCTAAAATGGCATCACCAGTCACCCTCCTTCTTTATTTTTCTTACCACTACATAAAATATTAAATCTTTATTTATTTATTTATTTTATCTTCATCCTCTCACTAGAATGTATGCTCCTCGAGAATAAGGATCAAGTTTTATTCACTACTGTACCCCATGCCTAGAACAGACCCTGGTATACATTATGAACTCAGTAGATACCAGTGATTGACTGGACAGGGGTATACTTTGCATGTGGCTGTCTCCACAGCCCATGAGTTTGAAACCAATGGAAAAATGCTATAATGACCTTCCACTTGAACATATGAATGGACCCAACCAGAGCCCAGGAAATTGCTCCCAACCAACTCAACTCAGTGCTACAAACATAACTGAGTAGGGACTCTAAGTCAGTTGGTGCAGATACACAGATGAATAAAATAAGATATCTGACTCAGAGAACCCATGCAATCTGATGGACAGTAGAGATCTGTGTATGCCACAGTGCAGTATGTGCTATGCTAAGATTAGGGACAAAGTTCTATGGAAACACAAAAGAAGTGATGATTCATTCTAATATAAGAGAGTGTTACAGGAATTTTCCCAGAATAGATGTTGCCATAGTTGTGTCTTGAGTCAAATATCAGGATGACAGGTAAAGAAGGGGAGCAGCGTTTGAAAGAGGAAAATAATTGACCAAGACACCAAGATAATAAGATTAAAGACCATACACAAGATGGTGAGTCTTCTTCAGAATTCCACTTGGATGTGCTAAGCAGGTGAGGCTGCAACCTGGGTGAGGTCAGATTTTCAGACTTGAATGTCATATGAATGAGTCTGAGATTTTTTCCCCCAAGGGTAATGGGGAGCTAACATGGCTCTTCCCTGGGACAACTACGTTTTATCTTCAGCAAGATAACTTTCACATAGAAGATGTTAGAGAATAAGGGAAATGCATATTATACATATTTTTACAAAATACATGTGCATGTATGTAAATACAAAGATGTAGAAGCACATACATGAGACACACATCTTCCTGCTGGCACTCCCACCTCCCCGTACTGCTGGCCAACACTTCATCCTCCTTTGCAATCCTGTGTTCTTATTCAAATAAAAAAAAATGGAACTTGTACACCTATTTTCCCTTCACTTTCTACTGCCTATTTTTCCCACCCAAAATTCTCCTCCAGAAAGGGGATATTTATATCCTTTCCACCATCTTTCTGCTGCCACCTCTCCTCAGGTACCCCTAGACATTAAAGAATGACAAAATAGCCCAAATAGGTCAAGTTACAAATTAGTTAAAAAATTCACAAGTCAAAGTCACCACAGTAGTATGGGTATCACACAGTTTCTTATGATTAATCTCCTTACTTCTTACTTTCAGCACTTTGGTGAGTGTCTTCCCTGCATTTACCTATATATTTCAGAGGGGAGATCCTCAAAGCTTTCTGTTCTCCAAATGAGCAGCAGCCGTTATGATGTATTCTGCAGATACACCCAAATGTATCTTCCTGTAGCTAAAGGTTCCCTCCAAAAAGAAAGGATTGGTTGCCATTCTCCTCCAAGAAGCCAGCTTCTATACCCTACCTAGAAATGGAACTGTTCACCCCTCACCCCTTCCACAGAGCTCTATCTGTACTTTCATTGTGTATCACAGTGGACCAGTACAATAGTAACTTGTGTAGAAGTCTTCACTCCTCTGCCAGAGTATAAGAATCTTAACAGAAATATGCATGTCTGATTCAGGTCTGAATCTCCCAAAGCCTACCCAGTGCCCAACAGATTATAGCCATTCAACAAATGCCTGTTGATTGTATAAACATATAAAAGTAGCTGTGTCTCAAGAGAAACAGCACGGCAATCTAATTAGAGATGAGAGCAAGGATGACTCCATATAATTTCAGAAACACAAAGAATCAAATCTTAATTCAAAACTGAGGAAAATCAATGGTGGCCAAAGTTCAGTAATGAAGTGCATTTGTCGACCCTTAGTGCGAGCTGATTAATTTCTTTGTAGGATACACCAGGGATAACTTGTGTTGGATTAGAGCTTGGAGCTGGGAGCAGGAGGCATCTGATGTCCCTTCTGACCTTACCAATAACTGTGGCTCTAAAACTCCCTTCACCATATGCCACCAGGAGCCTCGGCTCACTAGTTGTGTTCCTGTTATCAAGAAAGTAGAGAGAGATCGTGTGTTCCAGGCTACTTACCAGAGTAACTGCAAATGCCGATGGTCACCAGCAGGAACACAGTGACCAGCTTCATGGTGGGTTACCTGTGATATTTACCTGGAGTTTAAAATTAAACTGGAAAACCTAAAGAGTCCACTGAGCCAGTGGTCCCCCTTGCTGACCCAAGTGTGGCAGTGCCTTCTGCACACACACATATTTATAAGCCAAGGACTTGGGTTTCAGTCACGACCACTTGACTTGCCCCTGGGAAGAACAGCGTGAAGGTCATGTTTCCTCTCTAAACAAATTGAAGGTTTTTTCCACTTTCCCTCATGTTCCCATGAGAAACAAAGCCCTAAGTTAAAGCACCCTCAAGGCTCTCTCACACCACAAGCTCTTACACGAGACACGGAGCGGGGTAGGGGGTGGTGGTAAGCAAAACGCTCTGAGTCCTTTCCCTGGAAGAACTCTGAAAAGGTTTTGTTTCAGGATTGAAAGGATTAAGGCTCTGTTGTTTTTCTCCAGTTTTCTATTCATTTAAACTTCAGAGAAACACATTACCTGATGAACGCTCATGTTGACAATTCTGAGGTCCCTTCAGCCCTGAAATAATATAGACTCAGCTTAATGGCATTTAGTAACCATGTTTTTCTGCAATTTACCTCTACCCACACCAACCTTGTCACATATCTACCATGGCAGATATTTTGCCACTTCTAGTGCCTCCCACCTATCTGGGGGGAACACCTAGGGTCACGCCTTCTCTATGTTCTAATTTAGTTCAGGACTTAAAGTAAAAATGCCTTTTTAAAGACCTGGGATTCAATAGTGACTCGATAGTGTTGTTCTCCTCATCTGAAACAGGACATTTAACAGCTAAACAGCAAGACAGTCCCAAAGGTGTGTGACACTGAGGGAAAAAAATTTTTTTACAAGATCCCATACATATAAATAACTTGGGTCACCAAAACATGCATGTCAGAAGCCTTTTGGCAGTCCAGTCCCTTGCAATCATGCAAATGAAATACTTGCTGGCCAGGGGAACAATCTGCTTGCAAGGCTGCCCCCCTGCAAACAGGACTCAGCCAAGGGGCCCCAGGAGGATTCTATCTGTAAGCCCAAGCCCTAGAGCTCCTTGGCCTCTAAGGCAAGAAAGAGAAAGAATGAACCTTGAAAGGGAGAAATAGAGATCAGAGTCCAGGTGGGTCCCAGTCCCAGCTCAGGGCTCCCTAACCAAATGACGTTGCTGGCTTCAGCCACCCCCACCACTGAAGGGGTACTCAGAACCTTCTGAGGAAGACAGATCAAAGCATAGTCCACTTTATATGCAAGGCCAGGAGTTGGGGCCCCACTTGAGGGTGTGCTACTATTTTGAGGATTTAATATAATTATGTAGACCCAGGATGTAACTGTACCAACCCAAGGTTAACACCTAATAAATGTTACCTGCTGTTCATTTCCATACATTGCCGAGTTACAACTGCCATTTCTCTATTTTTCTGCTACTTTATAAACTGCACGGAGGAGATCATGTATTACTGCCACACATACTCAATCCTGCCCCTTCTACTGCTCTCTCTGCCCGAGAAGCCTTCATCTATTCCTGGGGAATTATCCCAAGACAGAACTCTCACAGGGCCAAGGCTGTATGTGGTGAAGTGGTAGCAAGTCAATGTCATCCTTTATTTTTATGTTAATGACATTTTGACAAAATATGGAACCAGTACTGCCCTTATCTCTGCTGGTTGTTTCCATTTTGCTCTCAAAGCCTCTCTGTGCACATCCACACCCTCCGCCCTGCACTATGGGAAGCTCAGTGTTGCAAACTGTGGTTTCCAGACTTCCTGGCCAGTGGCATTTTGGCTAGGGAGGGCAAACAGGGACAAGATTGGAGGGGAGACAAAGGGAGAAAACAGGATGCTTCTCCCTCTCTCTGCTCCAGGAGACATCTCAGGCAGTGACTCCACGTCCCTATGGCTCCTTCCAGAAACGCCCTTTCACCTGTGGTCTGACACAAGTCAGGCAGCCCCACCACCGTCCCAGCTTCTATGGCGCAGCCCCCGCCTGGGCCACACTTGCTCCCCCTGTCCTTCCTGGCCACGAAGCAGTAGAAGGTTCCTGCACCTTCTAAACTCTGGGTTGACTCATCTTTCCCCTGGTTGCTTCAACTGCCTTTCTAGCACCTTGTAAATTATCCTTCAAGTTAAATTTTTCCTGTTTGGTCACCAGATATGGTTTTGATTTTTTGGTTGGATTCTGCCTAACACAGCATATACTAAAATATAATAAAGCTAGAGCTTTTGGTAAAAACAGATCTCTCAGTTTAGAAACAGCCTCTCTCTCATAAGTGCCAAGTTACAAGTTCACAACAGGCTAGATCAATCCAGGAGAAACACACAGATGCTTCTCCCTTTCCACCTCTGAAGTGTGTGGCACTGTTTCCAACTGGTCTACTGGTCCTGGAGGTGAGCTCTCTCCCAGGAAGTGCCTTAGGCCCCTGTGCTAATAGATTTCTGGTGAGCCCATCTAGCAGTAGACCAGACATTGTCTTCACCAAAACCTAGTCGTGAGCATGGATGGCTTAGACTAAAGACTGGAACCTCCTCCATGCAACACATTCACACTCTCACAAACACAAACGTTCTCATGCTTACATGAGCAGTAACATGTGCATGTGGACAGACACACATACAAAACCATCAAACACAACTGTTTTCATTTTTTTGTTCAACAAATAGTTATTAAGCATCTTCTCTGTGCCCAGCACTGTCAGGAACCGAGACTGGAGCAGTTAACAAGGCAAGCTAATTTCCTGCTTTCATGGAACTGACAATGTAATGGGATAAACAGACAATAAACATGTAAACAAATAAAGAACTACTCATAGGTGCTATGATGACGCTAACGGGGTGCATTGAGAGAGAAAAGGAGGGTTAGGGGTACAGTCAGACCTGGAAAGAGATTCAGGCTTGGCTACTCCCACGCTTCCTGTGTCCTGAGTCCATGTATCATTCGTGTCTTTTTAGTCCATATTTCTGATTCTTTGACATCCTGGGGTCTTGCTGATCTTGGAGGGACTACCCTTCCCAGGGCTAATTAATTCCTAGATAGCAAATGACTCACCGGGAATGTACTTTCCTAAGCAAACCAGCCAATCTACAGCCCACACTGCCAACCATCTCCTTGGGGAGCCCTGACACTGGGCCACTGTCTGCCTGCCTCAATCACCCCCTGAGGCCCAGGCAGGTACCAAACAGCTAGGGACAGTGCCTACACCCCAGACAGAGTGCACTGAAGTGATTCAAACTAGCCTATCCTAAACCTGCTTACCCTGTCTCCCCATCCCTTCCCACAGAAACCAGAGTAAAGGCTCCTGCCCACTCCCTACCACACCTGCCTGACAAAGCCAGTGTTTGCCATGCACCCTACTGCCCTGTGGTGTGGCAGGCCCCCTTTCTGGGGCTCTATCACTGTAACAAATTATCTTCAAAATGGCAGTCATCCTCTGAACAGATGACCCGCATAAATATAAAACATATTCTTCTTTCCCAGGACTAATTTGCAAACATCTTGAAGGACTTTTTCTTGTTCATGCTTGGATCCTAACACAAAATCCTACACACTTGATAATAATATTAGGAACTACCAATCAGTGCCAGGCCATACACTTTGCATATGGTATCCACTTCATTCTCATAAAACCCCTGATGATAAGGAACTTTAATCCCATTTTATAAACAAGAAAGTCTGAAGCTGAAACCAATGAATTAATTGCCAAAGTCACTTAAATATATATAATATGGCCAGAATTTGAGCCCTTTCTTCTGATTTGTATTTCTTCACCTTTAAAAACTTTAATAAGCTTTTCCAGCAAGCATTTGTTAATAAATAACTCATGAGAAGAAATGAAAAGGAAACAAATGCCACTGTTTCTAAATTAATTTGAGGTGTGTTTTTTGAATGAATTTTTGTGGAGATTAAGTTCATAATTGGGGGTGGAAGTTCAGTTAGTCATTCAACAAGTGTTTGTTGAGCATGTTTGGTTGATGTGCTTCTGTGGTAGATTTTGGAAATATAGCATGACTCCTGCCTCTTCTTAATTATATTAAAGGAAACTGTTAGAAGCAAGTCAGTAAGTCCAACATAATAAAGACCATATATGACAAACCCACAGGTAACATTGTTCTCAATGGTGAAAAGCTGAAAACATTTCCTCTAAGATCAGGAACGAATCTAGGATGTCCACTCTTGCCAATATTATTCAACATGGTTTTGGAAGTCCTAGCTATAGTAATCAGAGAAAAAAATAAAAGGAATCCAAATTAAAAACGAGAAAATAAAATTATCACTGCTTGCAGATGACATGATACTATACATTGAAGAGCCTAAAGACACCACCAGAAAAACTACTAGAGCTCATCAATGAATTTGATCAAGCTGCAGGATATAAAATTAGGTTGCATTTCTATACACTAACAACAAAAGATCAGAAAGAGAAATTAAGGAAACAATCCCACTTACCATTTCACAAAAAAGAATAAAATACCTATGAATAAATGTACCTAAGGAGGCAAAAACAATAAGATGCTGATGAAAGAAACTGAAGATGACACAAACAGATGGAATGATACGCCGTGTCCTTTTTGCCTCTGTGAGAAGAGTGATAGTTCTAAAGAAGCCAGCCAAATGTAGACTCAAGACACAGATCAGAAAAATAAAAGAATCAGCCTGATTTCATCTCACACTCTTCCTTCTATGTGAAGAGAGACAGTAACTGGGAAGTCACACTGGAGACATTGAAGTAGAGTTCATTATCTTCTCTTTTGCTTGCTGTAAACTGGATGGTCAAAATGGCTTAAAGCTAAGGCCTAAATAAGGGGAAATAGTCTCAAAATTTGTCTTGAAAACCACAAGCATGTAACAGTCAAATGTCACAGTTTTGTATACCAACTGCACGGAGTTTGGAGAAAAGCAAAAAAAAAAAAAAAATTATTCCTGACTCTCTACCATATTGATTGAGTCTTATTTAGTGAAAAGTAGGGCTTCCCTGTTGTCTCAGACAGTCAGGAATCTGCCTGTAATGCAGGAGACCCA